CGATGATGGAAGGCTTCTCTCATGCTCCCTCCCCGACAATGCCCAAGATGGGAGTTTCGCATTCTAAATTCCACGTTAAAGATGTCTAATGAGAGGTAATATCCATAATGTATTCTTTTTGCTGGACACGGAAGCACTAGCCTCCAGCTGAGCTCAGAGGAGTTTGGCCTCTGCTCCGTGCCCACACATGATCCTTTTCTTGTCGTGTTCTGTAGGCCTAATGCAAAGCACCTCTTCGCATAGCTTGCATTCATTTTCTGTATGCAAAAACTAAACTGGCTCTTGCCTCCAGTGTATTCTAGTTGATTCCAGTTGATTCAGGGCGAAAAAAGTCAAGCAATGAGTCAATATTGCTACCGCTTATGGTGATGCAGCACTACGGTATCGAGGGGCTCAAATTATATCAGGGAGGATTCGAGAGGCTTCACCGGTCAAATCACCTGAAATTATGAGCCCATGTGCCAAACTTAGGCCTAATGCTCTTAACCTGGTTTACCATGCACTTTTTCTGCCAGCCGCAGAGTTACAGGCCAAATATCCGGGGGGGGGGATGGTTTTTATTTTCAACAGTCTTTCTACGGTGAAGTATTAGAAGGCCGAAGTAAGCTCATTACGAGTGAAGTACTCCCTAGAATTATGGTCAGTATGGTTCCACGAGTGCCTTCATGCACCACGCAAGACGGTGTCAGGATATGAAGTTGCAGCCTTGCACTTGCAAGCGATTGGTGGACAATTCTCAGCATTCTCATCAGGGCCGGATTAAGGTTATGAGGGGCTAATGGGGGGGAAGGGCCTAAGTATGAATTACATATTGCAGAAAAAATATGAAATGGAGGGCCTAAGAATATATGATGGCCTAAGGCTATAACCATGGGTTTATCCGGCACTGATTCTCACTCATTCTCACGGATCCCGATGACGATTTGATCGATTCCTGAACGTCGTACCTTTCAGGGTTCAATTGCAAATTCTGACCGTAATCCATGAACAAAAATCGACGTCACGGCATGTGAAGTCCGAATTGTTGGATGCTGATTTAAACTCTGGGCGAGCGTGCAAATCCTACCATTATATTAGCTCCGATTCCGGATTTAATAAATTTTCTAAGTTCGCACTATGAGTTGCGGTTGGCATAAAAAAAAATACGAGTTGTAAATGTAAAAAAAAAACTCACTTGGATGTGAAAGCCTTATGTGCACGTCGGTGAACTTCCACGTTGAAAGCGAACGATTCACACCCGACTGCGAGCTTTTCCCTTTCAGGAAATGGGAAATGCACTTCTTTCATAGCTCCCAACGATTTGGGTTCCGCGACACAACGAAAATCGAGCGACATTCAAGACCTTTCATAAGAACGCGCGGATATCCTCACCACGGCCGCCATGTTGGAAACCGCTAGGAGCGACACCTACAGTGTTTCCGAATCCCTCCCTTCGCCTTGGCACTTAGGAACCAAGTTAGATGGATAGGAAGATGCGATCTGGCGGCGATGACAGGGCTCCGTGCTCAATCAAAGATAGCAATCTTGCCCTTCATCCGTTCGCCTCATCCTTTCTCGATATCATCTAATAAATGGAAAGCCCATATCAAAGCCAGGCCCTATACGCCTTGGCCTTGAGCGATTTGGTCTGTGACCATGGATCTTGACCAAACGTGAGGCTAACGGTAAGAACGTTAACGTTTGGGAGTAAGGCTTGGGCTCAATCGGAGAGCCTCTGAATCAGCTTTTTCACGTTCTTGAGGAGTCAAAACGAGTATTGCCCATTCTCAAGGTAGCTTTATGGTTCGGTGCCGAGCAGCCTAAATGTCTCATTCAGGCTCACAAGGAAATCAGCGGTCAGAGAAAATCAAAGATGGCTCCGACATAGCCTATCATTGTGCCCATGGGGCGTCCTTAGCTGTTTGCAAAAGCATCCATTCACCTCGGTCGCAAACGGTACTCGAGAGACACTCAGTAATTTTCACTAAGGCGGAAAGGAGGGGGGGGGGGGGATATAGCGATGAATAGAAAGTATGGAATGACATCTTTCATTGGGAGAGGTAATTACCACTTCGCAACTTGACAGGATCCATAGAAATGTATAGGGCGTACGAGAACGGAATTGAAAGTCAATCAGGAAATGCTGTACCCGCCAGTCGATAATGCTCGGAATCAATTGCGAGCTTCCTATTCATGTGCTTTCAGGCATGAAAGGGGACGAATTGCACTCCATTCGTATTTTATTCAAAAGAAAGTGAGTCGTCTGACTGACTATTTTTTTACTTTCGTGAAGTGAAATCACCGTAGAGACAGCGTGGGACTTGGTTTAGCCGGAACAGCTGCAGGAACCGTCTTTCACCTGTGTTCCCCCCCCCCCCCCCCC